TTTCTGATAAATGGAGAGTATAATAGGTTAAAATATTTTCTTGTATTCTTAACTTTTCAAGTGATTTTATTGTTTTTAATTTCTGATGACATTTTAAAAAATCATAAATGGGTATTGAATTTTGTTGATGTTTTTGATACTTTTTGAGTATTTGTATACGGGCATCACCAGTATTCCCTGGTTAATATTTTCCCAAAAGAGCTGTTTTTTACAGAATCAATTTTATTGAGGATAATTACAATAAAATACATAGATTTAAAATGTACGGCTCGGTGTGTTTTGACAGATGTATACAGTCATGTCACCACTGCCACAATCAAGAGTAGAATATTTTCATTACTACAGTCAAGATACTGAATATTTCTCTCATCCCCCAAGGTTCCCTTCTGCCCTTTTTCAGTAAGTCACTTTTTTACCCTCGGCTCTAGGAAACAGTTTGTTCTCTTTTTCTCACTCTAGATGGGTTTCACTTGTTCTGTAATTTTATATAAATAAATTATGTGTAGTTTTCTGTGTCCATGTTTTCTTCTTTCACTATGTTGTTTTTGAGGATAATCCATGTGTTTGTATGTTTAGCTGGTTCATGGCTTTTGTTGCTGAGTAATAGTTTATGGTGGATTGATTTACCACAATAATTGACCATTTCACCTATGTATGGGTATTTGGACTGTCTCCAGTTTGGGATTCTTATTAATAAAGCTCTACAAACATTCATTCATGAATGGGTATAATACATTTTCATTTCTCTTGGTTAAATACTTACAAATGGATTTGTTGGGTTGTATTGTAAATGAATGTTTAATTATAAGAACCTGTCAAACTGTTTCCCATTTTACAGTTCCAGTTGCTCTATGTTCTCATCAAACTTGGTTAATTTTAGCCCTTCTAGTGGGTATGTAGTAGTATGACACTGTATTTTAAATTTGTATTTATCTGATGTCTAATGATGCTGAGAATTTATCATTTATTTTGGATCATTTGTATGTCTTCCTTTGTAAAGTATGTGTTCAGATCTTTTGCCATTTTAAACATTGAGTTGCTTGTCTATTGAGTTAGAGGAATTCTTTATACAGTTTTCTGTAGAAGTCCTTTGACTTTGACCCGTACAGATGCATACACACTCAATGCAGTCTGAAGCTTACCTTTTCATTGTCCCAGAGGAGCTTTTAATTTTGATTAAATTCACTTCATCAATTTTTCCTTTTATAGTTTGTGTTTCTGTGTTCTAAGTTTGCTCAGTACAAAGTCAGGCATATTTCCTCTTACATTTCTTCTACAAATGTTATTGTTTTTATGTCAAGGGGTATCAGTCTGTCTTGAGTTATTTTTGTATATGATGTGAAATAAGGATCAAGTTTATTTTCCTGGTTCTAGCATGACTGAAGCGACTTAGCAGCAGCAGCAGCACCACTTAGTCAAAAGTCAGTTTGACCATGTATGTGAGTGTGTTTCTGGACTATCCCCTTGATCTCTGTTATCTTTCATTTCGCCAGTGCCACTTTGTCATTCATGATTATCGTTGCTTTCTAATAAGTTTTAAAATCAGATAATGTAAGTTCTTCAACTTGATTTTCCAAAATCATTCTGGATATTCTAGTTCCCTTTGCTTTTTCATAAAAATTTTTATAAGTAACTTGCTGGTTTCTACAAAAAATACTGAGGGGATATTAATTTAGATTACATTGAGTACATTGATCAATATTAAGAATTGACATCTTAATATTGAATAATCATGTAAGCACATGAGATATCTCTATTTGGTTTTAATCAAAGGTCTTCATTTTCCTTCATTAATATTTTATAGTTGCAAGATAGATAAGTTATTGCTCTTGTCAGATTTATATCCAGGTATTTCATCACTTCTGATAATATTGTAAATGATAATTTTCCAAAGTTTCCATGTCCAGTTGTTCACTGATAGTATGAAATACAGTTGATTTTGTATTCTGACCTTGACCTCACAACCTTGCTAAACTCACCTGTTCTAATAACCTTTTTTTCCTTTGTAAATTCTTTTTGATTTTCTCATGTAGAAAGTTAACATCAATTGTGAATATAGAGCATTTTTGTTTGTTTTCAATTTGTATGTAACCACCTCCCCTGTACCTTTTTTTCCCCTTATTGCACTGACTAGGACCTCCAGTATGATGTTGAATAGGAGTGGTGAGAACAGATGTCTTATTCGTAATCCTAGGGAAAAAAATCTTTCAGTCTTTTCATTAGTAAGTCTGCTAGGACTTTTGATCAAGTTTTATTATATACTACAATTATTATAGTTAAGTAAAATAATCCTTTAATCAAGTTAAGGATGTCCCCGTTCTGTTTTTAGATGAGAATTTTTTAATCATGATTGGACATTGAGTGTGCTCAAATGTTTTAACTGTTAACTTATTGAGGTGATCTTATGATTTATCTTCCTTGGTGTGTTAATAAGATGAATTACATTGATTTATTTTCAAATGTTGAGTCAGCCTTACATTATCTAGATATGCCTCACTTGGTTATGATGTATTATCATTTTCATAAGTTAGAAGATTAGATTTGCTAATATTTGGTTGAGTATTTTTTTTGTATCTGTGTCCATGAAAGATACCTTTTTGTGTAATATTTTTGTATCGGGATAATGCTGGTCTCATAGGCTAAAGTGTTTCTTCCTCTGTATTTCCTGAAAAATTTTGGATAGGATTACTATTTCTTTCATAAATGTTTATCAGAGTTTGCAAGGTAACTTATCTGGGCCTAGGTTCCTTTGTTGAAAAAGGATGGATTTAATTACTTTAATAGGTATAGGGTGGTAAGGATAACCTAATTTTGTCCTAAAAACTTTCAGGTTTTGACTATGTGAGTCACCTAATATATGAGTTTTAGTAGTTTGTGAATTTCAGAGAGTGTGTCTCTTTATTAATTGCCATGAAGTTGTTTCTTATTGTCCCTTTAATCACTGTGGCATCCATAGTGATGTTTTTTCTTTCATTAGATGTTGTCAGTGTGACCTCTCTTTTGTCTTTATTAGTTCATTTCCAGGTTTATCAATTGTGTTAACTTTTCCAAAGATCCAGCTGTCTATTTTATTATTTTAAAAAAGTTTTGAGTTATACTGATTTTAACTCTTTACTGTTTCTTCTTATGTGCTTTGGGTTTAAATCCACTCAGTTTTTTCAGGTATAAGCTTAAAAGGCTGTTGATTTGAGACCTTTCTTCTTTTCCTTCTAAGTACTACATCAGATGGTCTCACAAATTTTAATGTTGATATTGTCTGAGTTCTTTTGTGACTTTCACATTGACCCATGGATTATTTAGATGTATATTGTTTAATTCCCAATTATTTGGTGATTTTTGCCTCTCTTTCTATAATTGATTTCTATGCTTAATTTTATTATAGATGGAAAGCATACTTTGTATAATTTTGTTTGACTTCTTTGAAGTTTTATGAATCAGAATATGGTCAGTCTTGGTAAATGTCTATGTGCAGTTCAAAATAATGTATGTCATGCTGCTTTGGGGCAGGATATTCTATATATGGTCAGTCTTGGTAAATGTCTGTGCAGTTCAAAATAATGTATGTCATGCTGCTTTGGGGCAGGATATTCTATAAAGTCTGCATTCCATTTTAAATACTAAATTAATCATTTGTATTAAATATTCTGTAATCGTTAGGTCAAGTTGACTTGTGATGCTTGTTAGGTTTTCTGTTTCCTTACTGAGGTTTTGTCTACTTGTTTTGTTGGTCATTGCAAAAAGAATTGAAGTCTCCAAGTGTAATTGTGGGTTTGCCTATTTCTGCTTCATCTTCCAACTGTTTTTACTTCATGTATTTTGAACCTCTGTTGTTAGGTACATCCTTGTTTAGGAGTGTTATGTTTTCTAGGTGAATTGACCCCTTTATCATGATGTAGTATCCTTCTTTATATCTGGTAATGTTTCTTCTGCAGACTACTTTTCTGATATTGATGGTGCTACTCCATCTTTCTTTTGATTAGTGATTGCATGATTAAAAAACTTTTGAAGTTATTTATTTAAAAAGACACTTTGAAGACACACATAATATGAAGATAAAAAGACTGAGTAAGTATTGTTTGCAAGTACTCACTAAAAGAAAACCAATATGCCTGTATGAGTTGTAGTATTGTTCAAAATAGACATAAAGGAAGAAATATTGCAAGAAATAAACAGGAAAATATCATAATAAGTAGGTCAATTCATCAAGACAACATAATAATCCTAAGCGTGCGTTTACCTGATAACATAGCCTCTGAATATAGAAGTTAATATAATTAGTAAAGATAGGTATGCATTCATAACTGGAGATTTTAAATATACATTTGGTTTAAGTGATAAAACAAATATTTGAAAATATCAGTAAGGAAATAGGAAATTTGAATGACATGATTAATCAGCATAATATAATTGACATTAATAGAACATTTTATCTAACAACTGAAGGCTATGCTTTTCTTTTCAAGACATACGGGACATCTGTCAAAATATTGTGGACCTTAAAAAGTATCGTCAAATTTCACAGGATGAAAATTATACAGTATATATTCTTTGAACCCTGTGGAATTAACTACAATTCAGTCTTGCCTGGGAAATCCCTTAGACAGAGGAGCCTGGCAGGCTACAGTCCATGGGGTCACAAAGGAGTTGGACAAGACTTAGTGATTAAACACTTTAAAGACGCACATGATACAAAAGTAAAAAGCGACTGAACAACCACAGCAACATAAAAATAGGTAGCTAGGTCCATGGGGTTGCACAGAGTTGGGCACAACTGAAGTGACTTAGCATACATGCATGCATTGAAGAAGGAAGTGGCAACCCACTGCAGTATTCTTGCCTGGAGAATCCCAGGGACAGAGGAGCCTGGCGGGCTACAGTCCATGGGGTGGCAAAGAGTCGGACACGACTGAGCGACTAAGCAGTAGCAGCAGTAGGCTCCACATGTTTGAAAATTAACCAAGACATTTCTAAATAGTCCATGAATGAAAATGAAGTCATGATGAATATTAGAAAACATTTTTATCTGAAAAATAACCAACAGATTACATCCGAGCTTGTTGATGCAGCTGAAGCAGCGCTCTGAGAGCGCTCGACTCTCCGTTCAGGCACACTTCAGGTTTTATTGTGTTCTGCTGCGCTGCACTCACGGATCCTGTGTTTCCTTACAGAGTGAAGAGGTTATTAGTACCGCTTGTCCAGTAGCGTTTTCTCACTGATACAGTTAGCATATCCCCATCAGTTTAGGAGTAGAAGAAAACAGTGCTAATTTTCTGTATAGTATCACAACAACAAAAAAATGCTACAGCTGATAAAATACTCAGTGAAAAACCTTGTTTCATGTCACATATCTTTTTCTCTATTTAACTACATTGGAATCCTAACCAGTGCCCTCAGGTTAGAAAAGGTTAATTTTAAAAAATGGGGAAAAAAATTTAAAGTGTTTGCCAGTAAAGTTTTTCACATATTCACAGAATATGTGAATTTAACAAGATACAAGGATACAAGGACAGCTTGCAAAAATGTAAGTTATGTACTAGCAACCAAAAAGTATAAAATAAAATTAGAAAAGTACTTTTAGAAAATCATCAAAATATGTAAGATACCTCAGAATAAATCTAATAAAAACTTTGGCAAAACTTCTACACTGAAAATTATAAAACAGTGCTAGGAGACATTTTAAAATACCTAAGTATGTGGAGAAATATTTCACCTTTATATAGTAGGAACTCACTAACTCACTATTGTTAAAATGTCAGTTTCCTCCAAGTTGAGCTATAGGTTTAATACGATTTCAGTTAAAATCCCAGAATTAAAAAATTATGAAATGGATTGCAAAATTTATATCAAAATGTAAATGTCTCAAGACTTGCTATAAATTCACAGTAATTAAAATAGTATTATATTAGAACAATATGGACAAAAAGACCAGTGGAAGAATATGAGTGTCTAGAAATGGAACCTTCACATATGTAGTTTCTTGGATTATGACAAAAGCTCCACTAAAGTTAAGAAACATGTTTAAATTGTGTTAGGTAAATTGGATATTGAACATTTGGGAAAAAAAGAACCTTGATTTCTACCTGATACTGTATTCATTTGAGTTGGATCTGTATATGCTTAAATTATCAAGGTTCTAGAAGCAAACCCAGAATGTCTTGATCATCTTGGATTAGACAGAAATTTCTTAAATAAAACAAAGTTGGTAAATTAGACTAAGTTATGAATTTCTATTCGTGAAGATGTCATTAAAGAGAAAAGGCAAGCCACAGACTATAAGAATATACTCATAAGTAAATCTGTTGAGAGACTTGTATCCAGAAAGTATAACTCTTAAAAATCAAAAAGAAAAAGGCAAGCAACACACTTTTTAAAGTCTGCAAGAAAGCAGGCAGGTTCTTCACAGAAGATATCCAAAAGTCAATGTGTGTAGGTAAAGGTACTTTACATTATTACTCATCAGGGAAATGTCACAATGAGGCACCATCCCATCACACCCCTACCAAATGGCTGAGATTAGAGACTGACAATATCAAGTGTTGCCAAGGATGTGAAACAACACTCTCATATATTGCTGGTGGGAATGTAAGTTGTTTCAGCCGCTTTACAAAGCTGTCAGGATCTGTTATAGCCAAACTTAGCTCTGTACTGTGACCCAGTAATTCCAGGTCATGTATACGCAAGAAAAGTTTAAAAAAAAAAAAGCCTGTACAAAGATGTTTATAACAACAGGAATGAATCTCAGAAACGTTGTGTCAAACAAAAGTAAACAGACACAGAAGAGTTTAGGATGCATGATTCCACTTCTATAAAGTTTAAAATCTGAAAAACTTAACTGGGGTAATAGAAGTCAGGAGAGTGGTTGCCTTTGGGTTGAGAGGAGTCAGTGTCTTGGAAGGGATGAGAGAAAACCCTCTGAAGTAATGGTAAATAATTTTGATCTAGGTGAGTAGTTAGATATAGATAGATATATATATATATATATATGTAAAAATTCTTTGGATTGTAATGTATCCTTAAGAGTTTTGTATGTGAACACTTCTTCAATAAATGGTTGCAAAGAAAAGGGAAATTAAGTTTTTATCATGGAAATTTCCAAACATGTCTGTAGAGTACAAGGAACCCCCATGTACAAACAATCTTGCTTCAGTATTTTGATTGCTAGTTTTTTGTATCTCCTCAACCTTCAGTCATGTTTCTCTCTCTTTTTTTTTTTTTTTGATAGTGCACACATCTCAGTATCTATCACAGGTACATTATTCTGAGCATATTTTGTAATTTTTAGCATCAAATGACATTTGTTACCTTTTGGTATGCATAACATTGAATTTTTTATTTTCCTTGTTTCCTGTACCCTGGTTTTTTCTTTTTCTGGCTTATTGACATGAAAATAAATCTCTACAGCTCTTTTTTTTTTTTTCAATTGAGGTGTAGTTGATTTACAATGTTATGTTCTTTCCAGCTTTTCTGCTTAAAGCTGATAAATTTGTGTATCTCAAAAGAGGGTAGGTTGAGCAGCATTCTTGTTATTTGTGACACATGAATCAGGGATCTTCCTATCTAAGTGAGAGGTAAATTTGAGGAATGTTCTTTATCTTTTTTTTTTAATGAATTGATATTTTATTCTTTCATCTCACTTTTCTTTGACTCTAACCTTTTCCTTATACTTAAGGTAAACCACAAAAATTATTTATTGTTCTAGTGTGTTGAGAGTTATATTTCACTTCTTTCCTCAAAGATTGCTATTGATAGTCTTAAAAAAAAATTTTTTTTACAAGACTTTTCTGTAACAGAATGAGAAGTTTATAAAAAACTTGGTGAGATACAGGCTTTACCAGAACAGAATTTGAAAATACAGTTTTTTGTCTATAAAATTTTTAGATTGTTTATGTATGTTTTATGTTTGAGTTACATTTTGTAATGTAATTTTCACTGTATCAGTGCTGAGTTTATTGTTCCTTTTTTACAATAGTTTGCAAAAATATCTTCAGAGAAGAGTAGTAGTTAAGAGAAAGATAGTAGATAATCAAGGATAGCCTTCTATCAGGTTATCTCTTGTTACTAAGAATAGCAAAGTCATTTCATCTCAGAAGTTTTGACAGCTGTCCCTTAAAATTTCTGTCTGATTTAGGTATTATCATTTCTAAAGTTATTCATTTGCAGAATTTGCTAGTCATACCTTGGAAGTTTCTCTGTGGTGGTGGTGGTCATTCGCTTAGTCATGCCCGACTTGCGAGCCCATGGACTGTAGTACGCCAAGCTTCCCTGTCCTTCACTATCTCCCTGAGTTTGCTCAAACTCATGTCCATCAAGTCAAACTCCTATCAGTTTCATCCTGTCATCCCTTCTCCTCTTACCCTCAGTCTTTCCCAGCATCAGGGTCTTTCCCAGTGAGTCAGCTTTTCTCATCAGGTGGCCAAAGTATTGGAGCTTCAACTTCAGCACCATTCCTTCCAATGAATATTCAGGGTTGATTTCCTTTAGAATTGACTGGTTTGATCTCCCTGCTGTCCAAGGGACTCTCAAGAGTCTTTTCCAGCACCACAGTTCGAAAGTGTAAATTATTGGGTGCTCAGCCTTCTTTATGATCCAAGTCTCACATCCATACATGACTACTGGAAAAACCATAGCTTTAACTATACAGACCTTTGTCAGCAAAGTGATGTCTCTGCTTTTTAATACACTGTTTAGGTTTGTTACAACTTTTCTTCCAAAGAGCAAGTGTCTTTTAATTTGGTGGCTGCAGTCACCATCTGCAGTGACCCTGGAGCTCAAGAAAAATGAAATCCGACACTGTTTCTACATTTTCCCCATCAATTTGCCGTGAAGTGATGGGACCGGATGCCAAGATGTTAGTTTTCTGAATGTTAAGTTTTAAGCCAGTTTTTCACTCTCCTTTTTCACCTTCATCAAGAGGCTCTTTAGTTCCTGTCTGCTTTCTGCCATAAGGGTGGTGTCATCTGCATATCTGAGTTTATTGACATTTCTTCCCACAATCTTGATTCCAGCTTGTGCTTCATCTAGCCAGGCATTTCACACGATGTACTCTGCAAATAAGCTAAATGAGCAAGGTGACAGTATACAGCCTTGATATACTTCTTTGTGAATTTTGAACCAGTTCATTGTTCTTGTTCAGTTCTGACTGTTGCTGCTTGTCCTGCATATAGCTTTCTCAGGAGGCAGGTAATGTGGTCTGGTATTCCCATCTCATTAAGCATTTTCCACAATTTGTTGTGATCCACACAGTTAAAGGCTTTAGCATAGTCAATGAAGCAGAAGCACTTTAAGTCTGTGGTTAGTTGCTTGATTTACTGCAGTTAATTTTAGTAATGAGAACAGTTGCTTACAGTGATATATGGAGGTAATATCACCTTAGTCCTTACTTATTGTGTGTATACTAGTTAGATGCACTGAATATTTTGCAGTTGTAAATATGTATAAGCAATCATTTGTGCTTGTTGATAGAAAACATGAAAAATATGGAGATACACTAAAAATAATATGTAAGTGTCAGACATAAAGTATAAGCTTAAGTTGCTAATAGTGAATTCTTTATTAATCTTAAGGGACATTTACTTTGCCTTAGCAGCTGAAAATGGAAGGATGAGATAATGTTAGGAAGCTAGGTTTAAATTTAATTGGTTCCAGCATATATGAAACTGCTTTCTGGTGGCATTTGTCAGAGTTTGTTATAAACGTATTTTGTCATGAAGTTTTTATTTTTTAATTCATAGCTTAAGTGTGGTAATAAGTACAAAGCTTTGTGTGACTAAAAAAGTATTTTACTGAAAGGAAATATGGGCTAGATAATTATAAAAGTTTGTCTTAGGAGAAGTTTCAAGAACCATTTCTAGGGCACTTTGATATATGTAAAACTAAATATGGGAAAAAACAAAATAAATATTCCAGTGAGCTTGGAAGAAAAATTAAGACGACCCCCCCCCTTAAAATAGTTGTATCAAGCTGTATTTGTTTCTGAACTATTGTTGTTTTGTTCCTTTTTTTCTTAAATATATAATGTTATCTAAGCTTTGGGTGTTCAACATTGTGATTGAACATATATGTTCATTACAAAGTGATCATCACCAGAAGTCTGGTAACCATTCATCATCATTTACTTGACCACTTTCACCCCTTGTGCCCACCCCCTTAATTAACTTTTCTGTTTCTAAAAGGACACTTTAAAAGTATATTATTTCTAGGCAGTCTAATGAATGGGCTTTCCCAGTGGCTCAGACCGTAAAGAATCTGCCTGTAATGAGGGAGACCTGGATTCGATCCCTAGAATTGGGAAGATCTAGGAGGAGGAGGGCGTGGCAACCCACTCCAGTATTGTCTAGAGAATCCCATGGACAGAGGACCCTGGTGGGCTTCGATTCATGGGGTCGCAGAGAGTCATTTCTCAAAGTGATCGTGACCAAAAGTCTAGTTACCATTCATTACCATATACTTGACCCCTTTCACCCATTTTGCCCACCCCCTTAATTAACTCTTTTGTTTCTAAAAGGATACTTTTAAAGTAGATTATTTCTAGGCAGTCTATTGAATAGGAGAAAATATTTGCAAATCATGTATTTGATAAGGGTTTAATACCCAAAATGTATAAATCATGCAACTCAAAAGCAAAAAATAAGTAGACATTTTTCCAAAGAAGACATTCAAATGGATGTCAGACACATGGAAAAATGCAGAGTGTAGGTGCTAAGCAGCAGTGCAGACATTCTCAACAAGCGAATGACACGTGTAATTCATTTTATGCTGTCATCCCCAACATGGCACCTCCCGGGGTGAGAACAAGTAGATCTCTTACAGGGAGACAATGTACTTTCATCAGGTGGTACTAGAAAATCTCTGTGGTGGTAGATGGAAGTATAAGAAAATTCAGAATCTAAACACAGGTAATTTAAATTGGTTGTATTTATTATCTAATACAGGATAGGTATGTGCAGTAATAGACCTAGCAGCTCAGGATGTGTATTATATCATAGTTTCTGTGGGTCAGAAATTCAGGAACAGCCTGACTGGATGGTTTTGGCTCAAGGCTTCATGAGGGTTACAATCAAGATGGAACTGCAGTCATAAAAAGCCTTGAATGAGGCTGAAGAATCTGCTTCCTAGGTGGTTTATTTTCATGGCTATTTCCAGGAGACCTTGGTTTCTTCTGTCTTTTGGCAGAAATTGCCAGTTCCTCATGACATGGGCCATTCTGTAGGACTACTTGAGTGATCTTACGGTGTAGTAGCTAACTTCTCCCAGAGAGCGTGAGCCAAGAGAGCGTAAGGAGGAAGCCACAGTATCTTGTGCCTGAGTCTTGGACATCACACAGTCACTTCTCTCACTTTGTCTTCATTAGAAACAAGTTACTAAGTATAGCCTACACTTAATGGGAGCAAATTAGGTTCTGCTTCTTTAAGGAGAAGTATCAGAGGATTTGTGGACATGCTG